CAACGAGCAACTAGCTAATTTTGCGAGATTCAATGAGTTACTAATATTTTTGTTAACTAAATTATTATTAAGAGCTCCGGCTGAGCTCGAAACTTGTCGAGTATCCCCATAATTGTCTAACTTTAATAGTGTTAATTTTATTAATAGTATAGTAATTAATATTTGTTTAATATTATTGCAGAGACAGAAGCTGTCGTTCACATCCATCATCCAAGAGATCCTCACGAGGGATGTGTCCCAGCCCATCCTTCAGATCAGTAAGAAAGAGGAGCCCAGTCCGAAACAATGCCTAGAAGTAAGATTATTATTACATATAACATCATAACATCACGCCTTTTATCCCTCGGGGGGTAGGCAGAGGTGCACATTACGGCAATGTTACTGTACAATGTAACACCCACTTTTCACTATTTATGTTGTGAGTCCCATGTAATAGGGGGTGAGTCCAGGCACATTTCCTAATACGTGCTACTACTGAGAATTTCTTAAAAAAAAAATCAGTAATACTTTGCCCGACCCGGGAATCGAACCCGAGACCCCTTGCCGGCAGTCGCACTTGCGACCACTCGGCCAACGAGGCGGTAAGATTATTATTATTCTTTTTTAACTACAATAGCTAACTGTTATGAGGTTGAATTACCGGAGATCGATAATAGCCTAAATCTTTGACCTTCGGTGATTTACCTAAATGTTATCAGCAGTCGATATTTTTAAAAAACAAAATATATCATTATTTTTATAGATAATTTAATACTGCACTGTTAATGTAGTGGCTGGGCAACCGGCTGCCGCGCAACGTGTAGCGGGATTTGATTCCCGCACGTAGCAATCCTTTGTGTGATCCACAGATTGTTGTTTCGGGTCTAGGTGTCGTGTGTATGTGAACTTGTATGTAACTCACCCACGATACAGGAGAAAAAATTAATATGGGGCAATGTTTTTTTTTTATTTGAAACAAGAAAGATAATCATGCTAATTGCCGTAAAATATGTTCTTTATGGCATAAGCCGGTAAACGGGCAGACGGATCACCTGATGGTAAGCAATCGGCGTCGCCCATGGACACCTGAAACACCAGAGGCATTACAACATTATAAGCCGCTTTTTGTATAAAATTGTCGTTCTGCATTAAATTTGACTAATTGGAAACGTCATAATTCAGTGCGTACGTTTAATTGCTGTCACCTCTATCTATGATATAAAGTTAGTTTAATCTGATTCCAGTTCGTAAGTCAGGCGACTGTAAAGCTCCGCGGCGAGTACATGTCCCGCCAGCAGAGAGCGTGCGACGCCATCGCCCGCAAGCTGCAAGCGTTGCGCTCGCTCAGCGACCAGCACCGGGACTGGCTGCGGGACTTACAGGTCTTCACTTTACTAATGCCTTATTGTTATTTATTATTTACTACCAGCATCAACCATCAACAGCCTATAAATGCCCACTACTGAGCAAAGCCTCTTCTCACACGGAGAAGGTTAGAGCGTTAATCACCACGCTTGCTCAATGCGGGTTGGCGATTTCAAACTTGTAATTAGAAATTATATGTCCAGGTTTCCTCACGATGTTTTCCTTCACCGTTTGTCAGTGGTGTCTAAATAATCTTAGAAAGTACATATAACTCGGAAAAAGTCACATTGGTACTTGCCGTTGGTAGGTTTCGAACCCGCACCCTCATGCATGAGAAGTGGGCGTCTTAAACCTCCGGGCCACCACGACATTTATTTACTGTCCAGGGTTAATTAAGGTCACGGCTCCATACCAGCAATGTCACTGTGGGGAGAAAATCATCGAATGACGTCGATGACGACGATGTTCGTCAACACCAAATAAGTAGAGGGCCCTATGGCTTACCACTTGAAGTCGAAAAATATTTTAGATACGACATAAACAGACAGACTACATAGTATCAAGCACGAATAACTATCGCAATCGTAATATAATAGGTGGTGGCTTGGTACTCTGAACTTCTTTTTCAAGGTCATTGTCTACGCATCATCACCAATTGAACATGTACCTGTCCAGCGAGCCCACTACTACGAGATGACGTCACGATTTTAGTTCCGAATTCCTCCGCGTGCCGCGCTACTTTCACTTCCAAACTCGTTCGACATTCGCGCACACGATATATCGCCAAAAATATTAATTTTGTAAACCAATCGTTGATTATACTCCTTATTACTATCGAAGAAGGTTTTTATTTATCACCAAACAGTCATAATAGTACTAGAATACCTTGTTAAGGTACTAAACTGAAGAAAACTATGAAAAGTAAACCCTGTGATTATGCTATTATCCCTAGGACGGAAATGTACTAATGATTTTTTATAACATTTCAGAAGGAAATAGATGAAGTACAGCTTCAGTCGACGGTCCTCAAGGAAAAGTGCATGTTGGCTGAGAAACATCAGGATGATCTGAAATACAGGTATGTGGTATTGGTATATCGATTTACTTTTTATTCTGTCCAAATTTTTTTTTATTGCTTGTATAATAACTACCGTGAGACGTAATACGTACTAAATTAAGTACGTGAAAATACTGAAAAGAGAACTCGAAATCGAACCCAGTACCCGCTACTGGTGAACGTGCCGTGCGTGTGTACATTGTCGGTGCAGCCCGCCCCCCACCGCGACACCCGCACACGTCGTCCGCCAGGAAGGACCCTCCCCTCGTGTTTAACCTCGTGTCATCGGAAGGAACAACTCCACGACACTGGACTGAGGCAGACATTATATTGTTGTATAAGAAAGGAGACACTAATAATATTGCAATAACAAGCGACTGCACGGTTGGTGCGGTGGCTGGGCAACCGGCTGCCGTGCAACGTGCCGCGGGTTCGATTCCCGCACGGAACAACACTTTGTGTGATCCACAAATTGTTGTTTCGGGTCTGGGCGTCATGTGTATATGAAATTGTATGTTTGTAAACGCACCCACGACACAGGAGAAAATCCTTGTTTGGGGCAACATTTTTTTTTAAATAATATAAACTATTCTCATCAATCTTAGAACAAATTGAAAAATTACTATCGAAAAACACCAACCCATAGAACAAGCGGGTTTCAGAAAGGGCTTCTCTACTGTTGATCACGTCCATTCTATCGAAATGCTCATTCCATAGACCACTCTATTACAATTTATGATAAATTCTCTGCACTCAGCCTACAGACTAGCCGGCCTTGAAATAAACCGAAATAAAACGAACATAATGACAAACAACATAAAGAGCCCAATCTTCTATCTTGAAGGAACAACTGGAATATGCTGACACATACATCTACCTGGGCAAACAGATATCTTTCCACGCACAAAGAAACGAACAAGAAATAGAAAGAACAATTTTAAACGCGTGGAAAAAGTTCTGGAGTCTTAATGAGGTCATGAAAAGCAACTTTCATATAACAATAAAACAAAAAGTTATGGACAGCTGCATACTCCCTTCCCTAACATACGCGTGCCAAACCTGCATGTTCACACACAAAGTAAAAACGGTAGTCAGATCATGTCAAAGAAGCATGGAGAGAAGCATCCTAAACATCAGAAAGATCCAAATGATGTCTGACAAAACCATAAGGAAAAAACCAAAATCAATGGTGTCGGGCTGGCCAAATAGCTAGGTATGCAGATGACCGGTGGACTTTCCTCCTAACATCTTGGCCAGACCCGGCAGGCACGAGAAAAAGGGGCAGACCATACGCGCGGTGGACTGACGACATAACAAGTGGCTGGCAAACATTGGATTTTTTTTTTTTTAAGGGGGGAAAATCATCGAATGACTGCCCCCGCCTGGGTGAGGCGGGAGGGAGTGTCAGACTCTTACTGACTAAAAACCACCCCGTTCCTTCTCCTGCACGTCGAGCCGGAGCCCCGGTTACCCGTTAGGTTCTCCGCGACTCCGAATCGGCATCGGCCCTATTGGGCCCCATCTGTGGTGGTCTGATGGCTCTTTGAGGCGCGCGCGGAACGCGACGCGCCGTACGCTCGGGTCTGTTTCTGGTCGGACGGGGAGCCACCCATGCTCGCCGTCCGCAGGCCCGCGCTTACGGTGGCCGGAGATCGTCCCGCGATCCCCGACGCCCGGTGTGTCCTTCGCGATGGCTGGGTTGCGAGGAGGCAGCGCTTCGCTGCCTCACGCGTCCCGCCTCCTCCTTAGCTAGCATGACTGCTTCGCAAAAGGAGGAGACGGCATCCCAATCCCCCTCGCTCCGCATCATGGCCTGCACTAGGCCCGGACGCGAGAGGTCGCCATCGCCGATCACTTCCCTGAGGACACGGCGGTGCTCAGCCCACGAAGGGCATTCTCCCACCGTGTGTTCCACCGTGTCCTCAGGGCGGTCCTCGCAGTGATGACACCCGGACGTTTCCTCCCGCCCCATCAGACACAGGTACCTCCCGAAACTTCCATGTCCGGTGAGGACCTGCGTCAGGCGGTAGGTGAGGACGCCGTAGCGTCTCTCGAGCCACTCCTCAAAGAGGGGACTTACCGCTGCGATGGCAGCGAGCCCAGGCAAACATTGGATGGATATCGCCAAGAACAGGGACAAATGGAAAGCACTAGAGGAGGCCTTCATCTTCAATTAAAGCCAGGGGTTCTTACTATGGTAATGTAACGTAAACCGAGAAGGATGTAATGCAAAGGAAATCTTATTACGCAACACAAATTTTTTTTATTATTTATACCAATCTTTTATATCGTTAAATTTTTGGAAACTAGTAAGAAATATAAGGCATTTTTTTTTTTATTTATTTTATTTATGTACAGATGCAGCGCCGTTGTCCGCGCGGGCCGTGCGGCGGCCGGGCCGTGTCCGGCCGAGCGCGCGCTGCTCGCGGAGCTGCAGCAACACGCGCGCCGCGGGGACACGCTGCGGGGACACGTCGCGCAACTCAAGGCACACGCCGCCTACAGGGCGCAGGAGGTACTTCTATATCTATAATTATCACGCGCGCCGCGGGGACACGCTGCGGGGACACGTCGCGCAACTCAAGGCACACGCCGCCTACAGGGCGCAGGAGGTACTTCTATATCTATAATTATCACGCGCGCCGCGGGGACACGCTGCGGGGACACGTCGCGCAACTCAAGGCACACGCCGCCTACAGGGCGCAGGAGGTACTTCTATATCTATAATTATCACGCGCGCCGCGGGGACACGCTGCGGGGACACGTCGCGCAACTCAAGGCACACGCCGCCTACAGGGCGCAGGAGGTACTTCTATATCTATAATTATCACGCGCGCCGCGGGGACACGCTGCGGGGACACGTCGCGCAACTCAAGGCACACGCCGCCTACAGGGCGCAGGAGGTACTTCTATATCTATAATTATCACGCGCGCCGCGGGGACACGCTGCGGGGACACGTCGCGCAACTCAAGGCACACGCCGCCTACAGGGCGCAGGAGGTACTTCTATATCTATAATTATCACGCGCGCCGCGGGGACACGCTGCGGGGACACGTCGCGCAACTCAAGGCACACGCCGCCTACAGGGCGCAGGAGGTACTTCTATATCTATAATTATCACGCGCGCCGCGGGGACACGCTGCGGGGACACGTCGCGCAACTCAAGGCACACGCCGCCTACAGGGCGCAGGAGGTACTTCTATATCTATAATTATCACGCGCGCCGCGGGGACACGCTGCGGGGACACGTCGCGCAACTCAAGGCACACGCCGCCTACAGGGCGCAGGAGGTACTTCTATATCTATAATTATCACGCGCGCCGCGGGGACACGCTGCGGGGACACGTCGCGCAACTCAAGGCACACGCCGCCTACAGGGCGCAGGAGGTACTTCTATATCTATAATTATCACGCGCGCCGCGGGGACACGCTGCGGGGACACGTCGCGCAACTCAAGGCACACGCCGCCTACAGGGCGCAGGAGGTACTTCTATATCTATAATTAATCATTGACTGACAGTAGATAAGTCTTGAAGACAAATCTTCCGTAACTATGCACATTTGCTGTGCGTAAGACTCTTAAATAATGAAATACCTCTGACATATCATTCGTTTCAGCCCAAATTCATGCACATTTGAGTATAGTCCACGTCCTTTTCCTACCATACTTGTCTACTTTACACATCACTAATCCAACTGCTTTCAACGATTCTCACGGTATCATTTTATTACATTTTGAAAGATCTTGATTCATTTTTTCAAACTTTCGTCGCCATTCTGTCGTCCTACGTTAAAATCATTCTGAAATCCTACCCAATTAAAAGCAACCAAAAATGTGTAGTTTTCTTTAATTAGTCACTATCACAACATTACTAATTTTACCAGAACTTTTATTTGTTAGTAAAATAATATTGTTAATCTTAATTTTAGATGGAGAAATGGGAGTCGGAGTATAAGAAGAAGGACATAGCTCTGGGTCAATCACACAGCAATACCATCTCCAGTATTCTACAACAACAGTGAGTTGCTTTACCTTAACTCATTTTGAATCAACAATTTTTATGTACGAAATATCACGAAACAATCGTCGCTGCCCTAGACACCCATATAACACTATAGAAGTCGCAAGTGTGTCAATGGCATTTCGGGAATTGAGAAGTTGGTCATGGGTCAATTTTTTGGACTGCATGCCGGCTGCCGTTCAGATTGTCGCGGTTTCGATTCCCGCACGAAACAACACTTTGTGTGATTCACTAGCTGTTGTTCCGGGTCTGGGTGTCATGTGTATGTGAACTTGTATGTTTGTAAACGCACCGACGAGTTAGGAGAAATTCCCAGTGTGGGGTGAGATCTTAGAAAAAAATTACCCAGAATGGCGTACATGACTAATTTGTATTTTAATATCCGTTTGATAGATTATTTTAAAACATTAGACACGTATTTTTTATTTCCTTACAGAAACAAATACTATCGACGATATATTGATTAGAAATATCGCGTGATGTCATTTCTAGGGTCGTTTTATACGTAGAAATGCCAATTTAGGTCCCACTTCTAAATTTTGATTAATTTTATCAAGTACTGTAACCTTATACGACGAAATAAAAAAATACGTGTCTAATATTTTTTCATTACCCAACTGGCGGACTAATTAGATTTTTAATTTTCACACCCTGTCATCATCTCTACCATATATAATATTTTTCAATCGCCTTTATTTTCGAATGTTGCACGTACACACGGCCACAATCTATACAAAACCAGTTTATCCTGGTGTCGCGTCGCATCATCTTTCCAAACAATTATCGTTCAGTTGATACTGGTTATGTAAAGCTCGTATACCCGTGGTCAAGAGAGCTGACAATTATACCAGCAGCTGTAGCCAAATGCCATTTACCGCTTGTCTACATGTAGAATAGAAAACTAAATTATATGGAATTGACGTAAACTTTGACACTTGTCAGTGTCATCCCCATGCATTTAGTTTTCTACTCTCTCTGTTTCAGGAACCTCGACTAAGTAAGAGTAGAATAGTATTTATTGACTTAAATTTTTTCATCTATATTTTCAGGACCAGTCAAATAAAAACGCTCATGGAAGAGACGAAACTACTGAAAGATCAACTGAGTATTGTTTAAATTATTTAGTTTAGTATTATTATTTATAATTAGGTATGTTTTTCATTTTGTTTTGTCAATTGTACTGAATTTAGACATTTCTTTGTTAACAGTCTTCTAAGAAGGAGTCTCGATTCGATTCTATATTTTTTGTTTTGTACACAATGCATATCTGCCCCAAATGAAAAATTGATATTAATGCTTTTTCTTCATTCTGATGTAAAATATGAACTTGTATTGAAATAAAAGTTCTTTTTTTAATTCTTAATTTTTTTGTTAATTATTCGATGTTTTCTGTCAAACTATAAAATGTGTATTACCTTACTACTGACTTAATAAATGTAAAAGTTTGTGCGAATGAGACACACAAAAATTAAGATATATAACATCACGCCTTTTATCCCCGAAGGGGTAGGTAAAGGTGCACATTTCGGCACTTAATGCCACCGTACAATGTAATTCCCACTTTTCACTATTTATGTTATGAGTCCCATGTAATAGGGGGTGAGCCTATTGCCATATACCGAGCACAATTCTAGACTCAGTGCTACTATAGAGATTTTTTTTAAAACCCAGTAATACTTTGAATCGAACCCGAGGCCCCTTGCCTGGTTGTCGCACTTACGACCAGTCGGCCAATGAGGCAGAAATGGAGAATGTTCACATTTTTAGAAAATGTGTAACTGTGAAGCCCTCGGTGTTACGAATTATTATGTATACTTAGTTTTTTCGTACAATCAAAACTGAATTATATGCGTCCAAAGGTTCCTTTAGCACTTTCCATACAATATTACCAATATATTAGCCGTACTCACGTCACAGTACAACGTCTCATATATTGTATTTTTAAACATAGTGAAAGGTAATAAGCCCACGATAATCATTTTTAATTACTAGCTACTTCCGCGCGGTTTCACACGCTCTGCTCAGCTCCTATTGGTCGTAGCGTGATGTTTTACAGCGTATAGCCATCCTCGATAAATGCGCTATCCAACACAAAAATAATTAATTATTCAAATCAGACTTTTACGGAGATTAGCGCGTTCAAACAAACAAACAAACTCTTCAGCTTTATAATATTAGTATAGATAAGATTAAGCTAATTAAAGATACAGATGCCTAGGTGTTGTCTTAATTTACGTCATAATAACGTCCTCCATTATGTACAAAATAATTGAATAAAAAGATTAACACATTGAGAATGCGGGTGAAACTGTTAGAAACTAGTATTTCAAGTGTAATCATTTTTACCATTTTTACACTTGAAAAAATGGTGTTGACGCTTTGTAAAATGAGTACATAAATTATATTCAATAAGTATTGTCTAATTTGGTGCAGTCGTTTACAGCTTATTCATCGTACATCTAATAAGCATGCTTCCAACCCAACAATTAAGTTGTCTTTTAAATATGAGCTTTAAATTGTATGTCGTATGATAGATTTCAAAACGTCAATATAAAAAAGCCAACGGCAGTACTCTCGAGGGGTAGTCGAGGCGACGGCACCAGCAAAGCAACGTTGCATCGTAAGTAGGTATTGTCAATACTCGTGATGAGTTGCTGAGAACCTAACGGGTTACCGGCTCGTAACGCAGGAGTAGGAACGGGGTGGTTTTGTGTCCCTTCGTCCAGCATACTCACCATGGAATCCTGATATTTCATGAATGTCAAAAAACTGTTCTGAAATAGTGCTAAATAGTGCCCAAAGGAAAAAAATAGTGCTCTTGTACTTGCGAAGTTATAGCCATAGTTCGATGAGTATGCTGGACGAAGGTTTCGCCCAGCATACTCACCTCCGTCCGGAGAATCTGTATACGCTTCAAACATAATTCATACTTCAAAAAATAGTTCCCAAATAGTGCCAAACGGTGCCCAAAAAGAAAAAACAGTGCTCGAATAACTTCGGAGTTATAGGCTTCGTTCAGTGAGTATGCTGGGCGTAGGTTCTACGCCCAGCATACTCACCTCAGTGCGCGAATATCGAACGAGCTATAGGTACAATTTACGTCTCAAAAAATTGTGCTTGAAATAGTGCCCAATATCAGTCCAATTTTTGCTTGACTTTTGACTTAGAAAACCATTAAATTTTAATGTAAACTTCTACATACTAACGTAAAATGGGGTACAGTCGTCGACACATGTTTTTGGACAAAAATATTAAACTTTCTAATTGTAGACTTCATGTTATTGGAAATAATTATGGTATTTTCTCACATGTCAAAAACTTTCGATTAAATGCATTATTATATATTTTATAAATAATAATAAATGAATGAAACTTTAAGCGTAAATGAAGTCTATTACTTCATTGCATTGTGTGTTTGTCTGAATAAAAACAGTCATTTGCAGCCAATAAATAAAAGCGTCGCGGGCGCCGCGCGTCGCTTTGTGACACAAAATGGACCCTTATCACCTTCAAAATACAGATCAGTCTTGTCTAATAATCGTAAGATGTTAGGGCAGCGCCATCTAGTATTTAAACATAAACATATTCATTTGCGTCGCGGGCGCCGCGCGTCGTAAGCCCCATACCTATTGACCGTACGTGCATCCATTACTGCCACACTATATTGAACTTTATCACATGAGGAATACAGGTCAATTCCGTAAACGTTGTGGTACCGTCCTTGATCCGGAAAATGATTATTTTGAATAATTTTGTCAGTTGTAATGTAAGCATTAATAACAGCAACTTTATTTTTCATGCATGATTTACTTCATTTGATATCTTAATCCTTCAAGCGCCGTGATCTAGACAAAATATATAAAATCATTGTTCCTAGCTACCGGGGTCCCATGCGACGCGCGAAGGCTTAATCATATTATTATAAAGTATTATTAAAATAATGTGTAATTAATAATATTGCGATTCTAAAGTAAATACTCCCTTACATAGACAATTAATAATTTACACAAGACAAAAATTGTTAGAAAGAAAGTTAATAATATTGTATTCGACTGTACTCAATGTAATGTATGTAGAAGTTTACAATCAAATTTAATGGTTTTCTAGGTCAAAAGTCAAGCAAAAATTGGACTGATATTGGGCACTATTTCAAGCACAATTTTTTGAGACGTAAATTGTACCTATAGCTCGTTCGATATTCGCGCACTGAGGTGAGTATGCTGGGCGTAGAACCTACGCCCAGCATACTCACTGAACGAAGCCTATAACTCCGAAGTTATTCGAGCACTGTTTTTTCTTTTTGGGCACCGTTTGGCACTATTTGGGAACTATTTTTTGAAGTATGAATTATGTTTGAAGCGTATACAGATTCTCCGGACGGAGGTGAGTATGCTGGGCGAAACCTTCGTCCAGCATACTCATCGAACTATGGCTATAACTTCGCAAGTACAAGAGCACTATTTTTTCCTTTGGGCACTATTTAGCACTATTTCAGAACAGTTTTTTGACATTTATGAAATATCAGGATTCCATGGTGAGTATGCTGGACGAAGGGACACGTGGTTTTTAGTCAGTAAGAGTCTGACACTCCCTCCCGTCTCACCTAGGCGGGAGCAGCCATTCGATGATTTTCCCCCTTAAAAAAAAGATGACAAACATTCTACCTCGCGGCCGGAGCTCGGGCGGCGCGCTTATAACTAGCAGACGATGCTCCGTAAGCGCCCTGAGGGCTAGTAGTAGGCAATACGAAGCAACGCGGCAACGCCGTGCTGGAACCGCGCCGGACCCGTGCTTATTAGATGTGTCTTGATTTAAGAGTTCGTTATACACATACATACATTTCTTGTTTATATAGATTTGTTTAAATCACATCTTTGTTGTAACCAACTTGTAATTTGTAATTCGTCTGTGTATTGTCAGAACTGACTTTTGATTCTTTTTTATTGTTTTTCAATAAATTATATAATAATGATACATTTTGTTTTATTTACTTTAATTATTTACGTTACTCATCAAAGGATCCATTGTTCTCTCCAAGCTTAAACCGACGTGAAGCAAAGCTTGCGTTGTGTTTCGTCGTGTGAGTAAGGTTACCGGAGGCCTAATTACCCTACTCTTCCCCAATCTCCCCAATCCCTGAATCCCCAACGATCCTCAAACTCCTAATCCCCAAAAGGCCGGTAACGTACTTGTAGCGCCTCTGTCCAGGTGTCCGTGGGCGACGCCGATTGCTTATCATCAGGTGATCCATCTGCTTGTTTACCGGCTTACGCCATAAAAAAAGACTCCAATTGAGTTATTCAAGTCCCAAGACAATAAGCAATCAAGCTGTTTTAACTACAAGACTACAACTATAGCTCTTATTTACTTTTCAAAAGTCTTGCCAAGAGTAAATGTTCTGTTTGTAACACATGCTAATAATAATTTCAAGTCCGAAAGCATACTTCAATCAAATGGAGGCTAACGGTATTTTTGCGCACCACGGTGCTTACTCTTGAAACCAATCTCAAAGTCCAATAAAATCTCAATAACTATTCAATGGCAAAACTACAAACCTTATCGTAACTGTTAGCGTGCATCGCGTCGCGTTCCGCGTGCCTCATAGAGCCATCAGACCACTACAGATGGGGCCCAATAGAGCTGATCGGCCGACACGGAGCAACGGAGAACTTAACGGGTAACCGGGGCTCCGGCTCGAAGTGCAGGAGAATGAACGGGGTGGTTTTTAGTCAGTAAGAGTCTGACACTGCCTCTCGCCTTACCCGGGCGGGAGAAGTAATGGGGCGATTTTATTTATGATTTAATTTTCCCCCTTAAAAAAAATCGTAGCTGTTAAATAGCATTCAGAGTATGGAATACAAAGCTAAAGTCAAAACCATTTAGTTCATTCAATATCCACGGATGCAATAGGCGCTAGTGTTGCAACTCAAGAGTACCTAGGTTTCACAATACCAATGTCGATCGATCGGAATTGGATTCAGAAGTAAACCCCCAGATGGTGCAAATGTAAGAAGGATTTTTGTTCAATCACAGCAGCCCTCGAATATTGAACATCCAATAAATAATAATAATAAAATAATTACACTAGCTAATAGGGTAGTATCCTAAATTTTATTTTAATGTCCGTCTGGTAGATTATTTTAAAACATTAGACAAGTATTTTTTCTTTTCTTACAAAATTAAATACTTTCAACGATATATTGATTTGGATTATCAGGTGACGTCACGATTTACTACATTTTATAGGGTAGCGTGACGTAACGACCTTCCACTCCTAAACTTGACTCCGTTATATCTAAGCATTGTTTTCTTAACCACAAAATAAAAAAAAATATGTGTCTATATTTTTTCATTATCAAACTGACGGACTAATTACATTTTTATACCCTGTCTACTACCCTATTACCTGTTAGACGAAGAACGAGAAGTTCACACTAGCGGTATTGGTGAGCAAAAATACGATGGGCTCCATTGAGCGTCGCGGAGAACCTAACGGGTAACCGGGGCTCCGGCTCGACGTGCAGTAACGAGTAGGAACGGGGTGGTTTTTAGTCAGTAGTCAGTAAGAGTCTGACACTCCCTCCCGCCTCACCCAGGCGGGAGCAGTCATTCGATGATTTTCCCCCCTTAAAAAAAAAAATACTTATACTCTTTGATTAGAGCATGCTCAATAGATACGTTTCGGTGAGTGTACGGGGGCATTGCACAACTTGATTCCCCCTACTCCTTTGTACAATGTACCACAAGACAATCGGCGAAGCGTCACCGATTCATAGTAGATGTCCCACCCACACACACGAAGCGCTTCGCATCAAGCTTCCTTGTGCGTACTGCTAAGTAGTGGATTTCTTTACCAGAGCCTATATTTTTTGAAGGGTATGGTACTTGACCTAGGTGTCTTCATGGCCCGAGTCAATAGGTTGCTTATGGGATGACCAGGCCATCAAATATAAGAAAAAAACATATTTTAACATGCTACATTAGAGCATGTGTCACAGTACTATAAAGAAGATCAAAAGAGTACTACGTATTGTTGTAGGTACTTATTTCAAACTAGCTTTTACCCGCGGCTTCGTTCGCGTCACGTATAGGTACGTCGCGTGACATATACCAATGCACACAGCGCCATCTACACCAATAATTTCGTTTTCCCTCAAGAATATCAATTTTTTCGGGATAAAAAGTACCCTATTATTTAATCCAGACTTATAACTTTAAATCTGCAAAAATTCAAAGCAATCGGTTTAGTAGTTACGGCGTGAAAGCGGAACAAACAAACAAATTCACTTTCTGATTTATAATATTATATAGTAAGGATTTGGTAATAATAAAAAAGCAATAATTTTAAAATATTTATTGAGATTGCAGTACAGTTCATCGTTGTAATTTTTATACATTCTATACGAATGTTTTGCGTAGTGGAAATGACTAATTAATTAATATTTAGCGTCATAAGACCATAACTATAATTAATAACTTAAAACTAGGTAAGCATGAGCTTAGGTACAAAAAAATCGAAATATATTTAACAGTCAAATATCGACGAAGGCGGTTTAAAAAATAGGTAAACGTTATTAGTCATATAAAATTGTATTTTAAAACATTATATCGTGCCTTTTATCCGTTAAGGGGTAGGCAGAACTGCACATATTATTTCCAACATCATTAATAGTTGCCTTCACAGCAATAGATATAACAGAATAAAAAACTTAATGAAAATAGCTAATTTTACACACATACACATTAAAATTACAATTAAAAAACCTAACAAAATAACTGCAGTCAATCATGACTCTTATTCCTATGCGTTAAAGGTGATATTCCTATGACTTAGTGAATTAGTGGTCCCCAGAACATTTTGGACACTTTCTTCTCGTCTTCTGTGCAGAAGAACTCTTTTCCTAACTTCACGAATTCTTTTTGTGATAGCTTGCCATCCTGGGAAAAGAAATACAATAGATTTATTAGTCATTTTCAATTTTTATTAAACAAAGGCTCTCGATTCACGTAATTTGAAAAGATTTAGTAATTATAGGTACTATGACATCGAAAAGAGGTTTGAAAAGAGTGTCAAAATCGCTAGTTTTCTACGAATAGCAACGGAGTCATTCTCTATCTTTAAGTGACAAGTGACAGAACATTATCTTTACTCCTGAATTATAGATTTGTTTGTCTATATTTATATATATGTATTATAAGTGTATTATATTGATTTGTTTTATCGTTTATTATTGTTATTTTTATTGGTTTCTTCGGTATTATTACTTTTTTTTTATTAATTGATTTTTATCTTGTTTGTGTAACACACTATGTGTCTCAGTGTCGTTATTTCTTTTCCTGCCACAGGCCCACAGGAAGAAATTCCAGTTGGAATATGTGGGGCCTATGTACTCTGTTTTTATACCTCTATATGTATTGTCCTCTATGTTGAATGTGTGTACATAAATAAATAAATAAATTAATAAATATCTTGTTAGAAACAGCAACTGAACACGTCAATATGTTTATGAGTCGTAAGAGTCTTATTTTTTACTCAGACAACTACCCAAGTATTTTGCCTGTGCCTGTAGATAATCGAAATAAACCCTATGGGAGACTAAATAAGACAATAATTATGTTAGTGTACCTATGTATATTATGTAAAAGTGAGTGAGTATCTGTAATCCATATTATGTAGGTATGTTATTATAAATTATGCTTACCCCGTTAACGTCTATGACTGCGAAGGCGACAGCTGCCTTCTCATTGTCCAGCCCCAAGCACTTGAAGAACAGCTTGAACTCGTGGACTGATATGAAGCCGGATTTGTCCTTGTCTACCGCCTGGAAAAGAAATTAATATTAAGGTTTAAATAAACATAACACCTTTTTTACCTCGAAGGGGTAGGCAGAGGTGCACATTTCGGCACTTAATGCCACTGTACAATGTAACACCCACTTTTCACAATTTATGTTATGAGTCCCATGTAATAGGGGGTGAGCCTATTGCCATATACCGGGCACAATTCAAGACTCTGTGCTACAACTGAGATTTTTTTTAAAACCCAGTAATATTTTGCCCGACCCGGGAATCGAACCCGAGACCCCCTGCCCGGCAATCGCACTTACGACCACTCGGCCAACGAGGCAGTCAGTTTAAATAAACAATATCATTTATTATACATAGATAAACATTTTCATGTCTATGAAATCTATGAAAGTGATTAATTCGATTAGTTGCTTAAGGGTAGCCGGAAGGCCACATTACCATCAAGGGGGACAATGGCCAAACGATAAGCCGCAAAACTTATTTTTATTTTTTTCAAGTTTTAAGAATTTCACCAATATGTAGTGTGATTGATATGATTCCCAGAACAGCCTTTGTATATAAATTAGTTTTGATCACGTGGACAATAGCCCTTTTATAAATCTAATTTTGGGTAAGTTCACCACTTTAACGTTCATTTATTTATTCTATAATCTAATGCGGATTGCGTGATGGAATCTTACTTTGAACAAATACGGCAGCCAACGATATGCCCTCTTCTTCTGCGACTTGTCATTCAGTACATGATGCATGTCCTCCAGGTACTGTTCCACTGTGACGAAGTTGTACGGGTCTATTGCACCCCACTGCTCCTCCCATGTTAGCTGTTAGATAAATATAATAAATTAATAACGGAGTTTGCTTAGCAAATAAAAGAAAAAACTAAATTCCGTCAGTCAGGCGTCAAAGAATTCGTCTGCGGCACTATCACTGGGGAAATAAGGATCAAAATAGCACGTAGATCGCGGTGTCTTTCCGAATCTGACATTCCTTTTGGGATCAAGTTTCAATCTTTATCTTTTTATCTTAATCCAACTACAAAACATGGATGCTGAAAAAACTAATATTTATCTGTTGATCGCTTCAGCAGTTCAATAATCACATTTTAATTAAGGACTAGATTTTCTACCATCTAATCTCCATCTATACTAATATTATAAAGCTGAAGAGATTGTTTTTTTGTTTGAACGCGCTAATCTTCTTCATCTTCAGAACTACAAGTCTGATTAGAATAATTGTTTTTGTGTTGGATAGCGCATTTATCGAGGAAGGCTATAGGCTATAAAACGTCACGCTGCGACCAATAGGAGCTGAGCAAAGCGTGTGAAACCGCGCGGAAGTAGCTAGTTACATATATTAACCTTGATAATACTGGTGAATTCCTCCGCCTGCTGGTTCGTGAGATGTCCTAGTGACTTGAACCGCTCAGCAAAGAGTATGAAGTCGTTGAATGAGATCAGACCATCCTTGTCCACGTCCAGGATGTTGTGAACTGTGCGCATCTTACGACGCCAGAACTCCGTCTGAAATGGCCAAAAGGACTTAAATTAATATTTGAAGCTTTGATGGGTATAGTTGTGGCACCCTTTTGCCACCATCACCATTTAATGTAGGTAGTGAGTTTTTGAGCCACAATCTGCTGAAGAGAACATATATAAAGGCACCGAAACATGTAAGTCTACCGAGTCCAAGGGTACCTGAATCTCGGATCCCTTAACAAATCTATGGTCAGATGCCATTGGGATAATTATGTAAACGATAATTTCCACAGCCCCCATTTTTAACAGGAACCAGAAATATTTAAACCGTTAATGGCACAAAAAGGAATCTCTTCAATTTTTTTGAACAAAACAGAATCGTAACAAATGCTTACTCGATCATATCCCTTGCATTCTGTATCAGTATCCGAATCGGAGTCGCTATCAGACTGTTTCCGCCGGTCCTCCTCGGGACGTCCGTGGTGCTTGCTGTACCTCCGGAGTGCGGATCCTCTGTCTGATCGGAGTTCCCTGTCTCGGGGGAGATCCGCTAAGTAGCATACGCTGCCATTACACGCTGGTTTCGTGTGGATTAACTGGAAAGGAGGAAAAATGGTATAAAAATTGTGTCGCTGTTGGCTGATGTCCTTATTATGTGTCTAATCGATTATTGATGTATAATTTCTATGACTAATTATTTGATTGCTTTATGAATGTGAAAAGATATTTTTGACTCGTACCTACATACTTATATTGACTGATTGTGAATTTCATTAATACGTACAATGGTTGAGACATACCCAATATTTGCATGCCCAACGGGTAGAACAAAGAGATACAATATGTAACAAAACTAAATAACACCTTAGTCACTAATTATGTACTACACCTCTGTTCAGCAAATAAAGACATTTGATTTGATTTGATTTTGATTTGATTTCTAAGCATCGAGCGTATGCCCTTGAACCTATAGTACCTACTTCTTAACTAACATACCTAAAGACCTAATGAAACGCTACTGTGCAAGTTTTTAATACAATAAAACTTGATCGATATTCTCTTTTTATTTGGATAAAGCACTAATTGCCATTGGATTATTTTTAATCTTTGCCGGTCCTACTTTTCCCAAGGTCACTTCATCTTTTTATTTTATTTGATGGGCCGACATTCAAACACTATATCGCCTGGTGGTAAGCGATGATGCGGTCTACGATGGAGCACGTCATCCCATAAGCAACCTATTCACTCGAGCCTTGAAGACACCTAGGTTATACCCTGCAGGAGTCGCGGAGAACCTAATGGGTTACCGGGGCTCCGGCTCGACGTGCAGGAGAAAGAACGGGGTGGTTTTTAGTTAGTAAAAGTCTGAAACTCCCTCCCGCCTCACCCAGGCAGGGAGCAGTCATTCGATGATTTTCCCCCCTTAAAAAAAATACCCTGCAAGAAACACAGACTCTGGCAAAGAATTACACTCCTTAGCAGTACGCACAAGGAAGCTTGATGCGCTTCGTGTATATGTGGGACATCTACCATGAAACGGTGACGCTTCGCCTAAGACACATCACTTGTGGCACGATGATAAAAACTTAACAAATAGTTACAACTTAGCACTGTCTTGTCTGTCGGACACTCACTAACTTAATTATCTTCTTTTATCCTCTATCTGACGTCATCAGATCACAGCATTATCAGCTGCCTTCAATCTACCATTTGATATTATATTACTTGACATACATAACTTAATATAACTTAGTACATACACACAGTAGATACACACATTGCAAACCGATAAATCGAGATCATTGACCGCATTATGCATAGCAGCCGCGCATGCGCAACTTGCAGCGCTTTGTGACATTTTGCTACTGACGCTAACTGCATTAGTAAAAACAATAAGTACTTACATTGTTTTTGAATTGTTTAAATATTTCTTTTATTCCAATATTCAATGGCTAGGTATAGTAAAGTCGCTCTACAGCTTATTGCCATGGTAACTATTTTAAGTGCTTTTCTTTAAGTGGGGTACATCATGACTTTTCCCGCCTGGATGAGGCGGGAAGGAGTGTCATACTCCTACTGACTAAAAACCACCCCGTTCCTACTCCTACCCTTCGAGCCAAAGCCCCGGTAACCTGTTGAGTCCTCCGCGGCACTTGGAGTGCTTAAAGGCCGATTTTTCAATCATCAGTTAATTCTTAACTGTAGATTAATTTGACAGTTTTTAGCATAGAAGAATTGTCAAATATTGAACGTTATTTCTGGCATTGGACAAATTCCATTCTAAGCCCTAAGACAGCTAAACTGACTTCCAATGATTTAAACTGTCAAACACCAAGCGGTCACCGGTGACCGCATCCTATTGTTCTATAATTGTGTCTACAAAACCGGTACTCGACGAGTTAAGGAAAGTGAGAGGGCGCGTGTTAGAAGTTCGGTTCAATCATCTAGAATACGGTCTGGAAGTCGATGTTCTACCAAATGTATAGCTTGTCCCTTTATTATGTAACTACCTGATGATACATTTAACAAATAAATACCTAACATGACATAACCAAAAAAAAATTAAAAGTTTCATTTAGTCAAGTAACTGTGCCTAGTCCATACACACAATTAAATGTAATTCCGTGATGATAACTAAATCGCATAACATTTAAAGTGACAAATAAAACAAAACCTCTTTCTTGTGGGAACTCGGTGCACTGCAATTGCGTATGCGCAGGCCCGTGTCTATAAATACACACAAGGCCACCGCAACTTCTACTTTATACGGTAGGGGTGCATAAACAATGCAAAACTGACCGTTTTTGCGCTTATGTTAAGCGTTTTGTTCTACAAAAGGGTAGGCTTAAAAAACATTACCCTCCTTCTTTGGCAGTCGGGTAAAAACACTCACTTTTTAACAATTATCAAGTCGGTAGATAATTAGGAACGTCTCGGGAGTTTATTTAAATAGTTTTATTTTTCTACCGTCGAAAAGTCGTAATTTGGTTTTCTGAAGGACAACATTTTACAAGAAACTGCGCTCTGTAAAATCTTGCAATTTTTGTGCCTTCTGAAAAGTCACATAGGTATTTCGCAGTGACTACATTTTGACTGTAAGTCATCAAAACACTGTATAAAATTATGAATCCTACCTCTCTGCCTACCCCTTCGATGATACTAAGTTTTATTACTCAACTTCCTTATTTATATCCGGTTTAAGAAATAATTCCAGTAGTCACAACCGATGAGATATCAGGGTTAAATAATATTTATGTTTACTAAGTGGTGTCAATAATAAAACTGGAACGGTATCGTTTTCCTGTTGATATTTATTTAAACGCCTGGTAAAAGAAAATTTTATTTATAACTTATGATAAGGTGATTATATAGGTACTTCGATTTACCTATTTACCTAGTTCTTATCTATATAAATAAATTCATAACTTAATGTCTATTATTTCATAACATACATAACATCACGCCTTTCTTCCCCGTAGGGGTAGGCAGAGGTGCACAGTATGGCACTTAATGCCACTATACTATGTAAGACCCACTTTTCACTATTTTATGTTATGAGTCCCATGTAATAGGGGGTGAGCTTATTGCCATATACCGAGCACAATTCTGTGCTCCGACACTTCGCTTCTTTTTTAAAGCTAGTAATACTTTGATCGACCCGGGAATCGAACCCAAGACCCCTTGCCCGGCAGTCGCACTTGCGACCACTCGGCCAACGACTATTATTTCCTACAGAAATAAGAAAAGGTACATTTGGGTCAAGTGACGACGATAGAGTTATATAGGTAAGTCAGAACTCAGAATATATTTTGTCCACATCTGCTTCCCTCCGGCTGGTGTCATAGGACCCTTTATTTCAGGGTGGAAAATCATCGAATGACCCAGGCGGGAGGAAGTATCAGACTCTTACTGACTAAAAACCACCCCGTTCCAACTCCTGCTTTTTGAGCCGGAGCCCCAGCAACCCGTTATATTTTCCACGGCTCCGCCTACTCAAATTTGACAGAGACTGCGCAACAGTGCTCTCTATAACTTTATAAACTGTCATCGCCTATCCGCCTGCACAAGCTTCTGATTATGGCAACCTCTATTATGTAGGAAAGACGCATAATCCAATAGAGGACTATCACGGACTGTTGATAATGACAATTCCTCTTTCGGGTCATTAATTACAATGTTTCTCTAATCTATTTGACCCTCTCAATCACAAAAGACGAGCTACATATCACGTACATACGACTAGTCCCCTTGAATCAATCAAAGCAGTTAAAATTATTACACATCAGACTAGGTAATCCAGTATAAACTGGCCTATGAATGCGCAGAAAGATCACACAAAGCCAGACCATGATATATTGGTTATGTATAGCTTGATAACCGTGTTTGCAAGTCAACGTGAATGATGTCCGTGAACTAATTTGCAAATCGTTGGGGCGATGTTAAACGACATTGCATGATCATTCAATGATTGTCAAAATCATTGTGGTGATTTATACGTACAATGAACTTTAGTATAAGTACCTGTGTCCTATTGTAGTCTGATTTAGGGATTGAGTTGTAGAAGATTATGGAGATCTTCATCCAAAGAAGTAAATATAGGGTATTTAAGCGTGGGAGAGCCATTCTTCGCCAGCACTAAGCCGGCTCGACCGGAGTGATACCACGGCCGAGCAGAAAACCGACGTGAAACAACGCTGGCGTTGTGTTTCGTAAATTAATTTTTCAGCTTTTTATAGTGACTAGCTACTTCCGCGCGGTTTCACACGCTCTGCTCAGCTCCTTTTAGTCGTAGCGTGATGTTTTATAGCCTATAGCCATCCTCGATAAATGCACTATCCAACACAAAAATAATTATTGAAATCAGACTTGTAGTTACGGAGATTAGCGCGTTCAAACAAACAAACAAAAAAACAAACTCTTCCGCTTTATATAATAGTATAAGAGTATAAGATAAGTAGTCTAAGACTAGTCTTACGTGAGCTGTATGATTTTGTCACAGCCGATCTTGTCAAAAATAAAAGAAACCAACGCAGTTATGATTGGTTTAGTACAAATACCAACAAGTAAATACCTTACATTGATAAAAATCAGGAAAGGGACAGATTTGATTCAACAATCCGGTTGAACAAGTTCTGTACCAGTCTCGAAACGACTGGCCTTTCATAAAGTACTTACATATTAAAGAAATAAGTTATTTCGCTTTTTTTTTAAGTCTGGAATAGGTACATCTTCGTTCTACAGTATTGAATTAGGATAGGTCCTTTTTTAAATATGTGCGGTGAAGTCGTTAGATAAGGCCTAGTGTTCAGCAATGAATTATGATATGGTTGTTACAGTATTTTTTTTAAAGGGGGGAAAATCATCGAATGACTGCTCCCGCCTGGGTGAGGTGGGAGGGAGTGTCAGACTCTTACTGACAGAATAAAAACCACCCTGTTCCTTCTTCTGCACGTCGAGCCGGAGCCCCGGTTACCCGTTAGGTTCTCCGCGATAATGGTTGTTACAGTAGACACTTAATATCTCCACTTTATACAATATGTACCTGATATTGGGGTAGATATGCCTATCTGTCTATTCAACTTATAAGGCAACTGTT